TTGATTTTCGATTTTTGTTGAAACTAGCCCTTAATTTTTGTTGAAATCAACCCTTGATTTTCGATTTTTGTTGAAACTAGCCCTTAATTTTTGTTGAAATCAACCCTTGATTTTCGATTTTTGTTGAAACTAGCCCTTAATTTTTGTTGAAATCAACCCTTGATTTTCGATTTTTGTTGAAACTAGCCCTTAATTTTTGTTGAAATCAACCCTTGATTTTTGCTCTATATATCTCTTTCTCTCTCTCTGCCCCCTCTCCCCCAATTTCAAACCCTAACTATAATTTTCGATCTCTCAGATCTCAGCCCCTTCTCTGTTCTATATCACAAAAGTCATTTTGATTTCATTTCGCTTATTTTGAAGTGTTTCATATGTTAAAAATGCTAAATGTTCGATGCGTTTATTTACATGTTTGTTTATCTGCATTTTGTTGATCTTTACCTCTCTTTCTCTCTCGCTCACTCATCATATTATTTTCCTTGTGGCCTTCACTATGTGTATTTAATTCAATTCAAAATATGAAACCAGGTGCCATAGTGATTCTCTTATGTTTTTAATGACTTACAATTGAAATTTGCACTAATTATGGCCCAGCAATTTAGTAAATTAAAGACAATCTTGGAAGCATAAAGATTTATGGGCTGTGAGTATCTAAAGGAACAAAAAAGTCATGGTACAAAAAGTTTACTCTTGGACAACCCTTAAATTTGAAATTGAAGTTTTATGGCTTTCAGTACATACCCAAGTATATAATTGTTGGAAAACTATATAAATTTGACAGAGCCCCCTTCTATTTGAATGTTCTGTTTCCTAATGATGGCATTGCAATTTAGATATAATTAAGAGTGCACAGGTCGATAAGTTGGCCTCTGGACAAGCCATTTTACACTTCAACATTTGTAAAACAATTTTTTTTTTTGGTTGAGATTTTACAGTTAAAGAATGGATGGAGGGTTGGTTATTCTTTAAGTGGTGCATGTATAATTCCTGGAGTGTGTGCAGTGTGATGGTCTATTTCTTTGCCTAAATGCATTGTACTCACTGTCCTTCTGGAGGATATTTTATTATGTAATGTTGTTATTAATTGTTAAAGTGATAAAGAGCATATAATAGACACACACACACACACACACACATATATATATATATATATATATTATCAACAACCTACATTCCTGAAAGATGAGAATCCATCACCCGAACAAACCTCCCTTCTCTGTTCTAACATTTCAAAAAAAGATTCTCCCTTTCGGTGCTTTCTTCCTCAACTTACTGCTCAATCGCTTAGCTTCAAAACAAGTAAAAGAGAGAGATGGTAGAAAGCCTCCCCTCACTTTCCACCACCACACAACAATTCCCATCACCTGCATCAACAAACTCAGAAGTCTTTCAGCCCTGTTGAAGGAATTTCTTCATCCCCCTTTTAATACACTTCGATTTTTGTTTAATGTATTTGCATTGGTTTTTTTTGTCTCAATGCACCATATTCATTGCTCATAAAAGGAAAGTTCTACATTTAGTCTGTTAATCATTTTATGTGGATTGTTATTTTATTTATTTTATCCACGAAATTCTTCTTCATTGTGTTTAGATTCAGATTTTTTGATTTAGACATGATTGTTCCCACCAAAAAAAAAAAAAATGCATAATGTTTAATTATTTTTTTCAAGAAGCAAATTATCAATATAAATTCCGAGTTGCAATAAATTGACTTGAGGGATCAAAGTCACTAAGGATCAGGAAGCCTAATGTAATATGTCAATCCTGGTGTCTGGACTAGCCAAAAAATTTCAATATGGTGATGAATCAGATGATTGTCTTTGTTGCATCAATCTTTTGGCAGTTTGATCATTCTAAATTTCTTAGTGCAGGTTACTACTCCATTGCTTTTCAAGCTAATACCTGCTGTGGTACATCTTGGTGTCCTACTACGCTGGTTCTCCCCTGACAGTCCGAGTGAGGTAATCATCTATGTTGATATATATATACCTCCACTTTTAGTATTTGTCTGTTGCCGGTGAGAAGGGTTTTGATTCTATGTAGATTTGCCATAATCCTTGCTCTCTTTATTGAAATTGAAATGCTTCTTGAACATGTCCTTGACCACCAGATTGGATTCAAAGGAGAAAATCTCAACCAAAAATGGATGGAGGGTTGGAAAAAGTTACCTAGAAAAAAGGATTCTAGTTTTTCTCTTTGAGCAATTGGTTCCATACCTTAAGTTTACTTGTGTACTATTGCAAACTAACGCAATTGTTGTTTGAAGGGAAAAAACATTAGAGGAAAAGGTATATCCCTTTATCTCCTACTCACTTTGGGGCAGGAAGAAAATAGTGAGCAGGATGGAAACTCTCCCCCTCTTTTATTTTCCTGTTCTCTTTTGCTGCATATAATGGGATTGTTTAAATTGGAATCTCTACTATCCAGTCATGTTGGTTTGCATCCCAACAATTTTATTTTCATTTATTTATTTATTTTTTTTTGTGGACTTTTCTTGCTATGGAAAGTGGCAAGGGGAACTGTTTCACTATAGTCTCTAGTGAATTTCTCCAGCCAGTTCCAACTAAGGCTTTGGTCTTAAGGAATGCATTCTGCAAAACAAGACCACCCTAGTATTCCACCACACACAACTTTGACTACCAGAAGGTGCCTATTTGGAGGAAATAAAAACAAAATTAAGATGGTTATTTTCTATTTATTATATATATATATAAGCAGGGAGCTGCCGTAAATGCCCTTGATTCTCAATTTGCATTGGATCAAACAATGCCTTAGACTAATTACATATATGAAAAATGGCACCATATCAAAATTTTGCATAAATATCACAAGAAGTGGTAGATATTGGGTCCATGATATTTAAAATAAAATCTTTTGTTTTACAATGTATGCACCATACTTATGCTTGTTTGATTAAATACTTGCACAAGTGACTGCTCTTAGTTCAACGGTCGTCTCAAACTGAAGTCACCATAGCATGAAACAATGATCCTTTGGGATTCACAAATCCAAACTCATCTATTTGAGGCCTAAATCATCGATAGTGTGGCCAGATATGTAAGCTTACCCATTTCGTGGTTTCAACATAAGCTATCATAGAATTTAAGCTTTGAATGCAGCAGATAACTGTAGATCCTAAAGAAGGATACATAGTGCTCATTTGAGAAGTGACTATTTTAGTTGGCTTTTTGGCTTTTTGATTGGGTGTTTTGGCTTTTTGGCTATTTTAACCAAAAAACCACCATCCCAAATGGGCCCTTAATCTTTTACTACTTGTCATAATATGTTGTATGCGTTTCTTTTTCTTATTTATTTTTTTATGTGATATGAAGCTGTAATTACCCTTTCTGTATTATTTTGGTAATGACAAACATAAAAACTTTATTGATTTTGGTGAAGATACTTCTTTTGATGAGAAAGTTAGGTTTCCTTGTTCTTTTTTGTCATGCCCCATTTTTTTTTCATCGTTCTATATATGATAATTCAGCACCAAGGCACACTATTGCCTTTTGACACTAGAAAAGTTCCAGTGTCATATATTCATTCAAATTCACTTCTAAATGTTCCAAGGTACTTTGTGTTTAACACTGGCATTTTTACATTTATTCCATGGTTGTTAAACTAAGCTAGTGAATTATGAAACCCTTATTGCGGAACCATGTATTATTAGATTCATATTTTCATTGACTGTGATAAAGTTTTCTCCTATTTTAAAACTTACTATGTTAATTTCTACTTTATTCCGTCTTTTAGGATACTGCTGACAGTCCTCCACCTGATGAACATGCAAATAGCACAGCAAAATGAACAAATTGCAAGGTTTCAAAAGTCAGAGAAGAAACAAAGCAAGAAGATACAAAGTATCATAGAGTGTTTGACGCAGAAAGGTATCACGGGAAATTTTAAATGGGGAAAGTTCAGATTCTGATGGACAAGCTTCTTGGTTAGTATATTATGTTTATATGTTAATTTAGTAGAACATTTCTTCTTCAACTAGGGTAGAATAAAAAACTACTTTTGACATTTAGGCACAAGGTCCCGGAAAAATAGTGAAATATGCATCTAAAGGCCCGAAAAACATCACAAACACCTTGTGATTATCAGAAACTATCATGAACACTTTGGGAGGGATCAACATAAGTTGTGAAAACTTATAGAACAATCATAGGACTCTCGGTTGGAAAACATTTAGCCTTGAAAATAGGCCGTTAGGCAGTAAAATCTTGAAATAGTCGTTAAAAGGCTGAGAAATATCATGAATACCTTGGGAGGAACTAATGTAAGTTGTAAAAATTTACGAAACAAGCACAGCAAAATTTGGTTTCAAATTTACTTCGAAATTTTTATTCTCTCTCTTCTAGGTTGCATATTAACATATTTAGTGAATGGTTACTTTAACCTTTTGTTGTTGTCTTTTTTTTTTTCTTTTTAAATGGCAAATTGGAGATGAATGAATTTGGGAACCTGCATGGCAAGAGTTTTTTTTGTTGATATTACCAGACACATCCATCACAGTGTAGTATTTTTTGTTGATATTACCAAACATGTATTTTGATTATGTTGTTGTGGGTTATGATTATATTGTGACGGATCTTATCTTTTTGTTGATATTTTATTGAATAAATTAAAAGAACAGGTTTTTGTAATGATTTGTAATGGGTATTATATTCAGCAGGTTATTAAAGTGCACAAATTATTTTGATTGTGTTGTAGTTATTGATTTTACTAGAATAGATGTTATAGTTTGGATGTTATATATTAATTCCTTGATACTACGAGACATGTGTTTTGCTTGGGTTGTTTTATGATAATGAACAGTTTAATTTTATATTGATTTGTATTAGATATTTTATTTAATAGATTGTTAAAATGTACAGGTATTGTTTATTGTAAAAAAATATATAAATTGCAAATATAACCCTCCCTCTCAATTTTTAAAATTTATTTATTATTGGCGATGAAAAAAAATTGACAAACTTTCTAATCCCAACAAATAATTTTGTCATACATATTCACTATTTCATCACTAAATTAAAATATTTGTTGACAAAAGTTTTCGTCACTGAAGGGTCTTTTTTTCCATCTTTTGGTGACATTATTTTTGTCACTAAAAATTCTGTCGCTATTTTTAATGACGAAATATTTTGTCACCCAAAACAAATATAATAAAATTTTATTTAATTCTAGTGATGAAATGAACGTTATAGGTGACAAAATATTTAACATTTAGTGACGAAATATTTCGTCACCAAATACCAATAATAGGTGACAAAATAAATTTTCGTCATCAGGTACTTTTAGTGACGACGAATTGATGACGAACGTGGTGACGAAATTATTTCGTCACAGATCAATTTGGTGATGAAAATTTCACTATTGGAGACGAAGTGATTTTGTCATTAAAGAACCATTTTGTTGTAGTGACAAAACTTGAACTTAATCGCATAGCCATAACCACTTGACATATCCAGAACCTCCATAGGAGGCACATAGGTTGGCTGACAAAAACAGATTCCGGACAGACGCCTCTAAGCCTGGTCACGCGCCTAATCACCTACATACATAAATAATACAGTGAGCTGGAGCCCAATGAATAATAATAAAGTAAAGGGTTTTAATGAACGATGTCCATCACAGAGTTAAAAATCGTAGTTTATATCAAAAACAGATTCTTATCAGAAACAGAGTCTTATGCATATTTAGATTTCAATCAGAAATAGATTCATATTCATATTCTTATTCTTATTTAAATCATATACAGAAATCACAGTTCATGCTTAATCTTACATAGTACATCCGTTAGCGCTACAAATCACATACAAAGGATCAAAGGTCATACTTGTCAGTTCCATAAAGGAACCTCCGACCAGGTATAGATAACTTGTTAGTTTCTTAAAGGAACCTCTGGACTGGGAACGGATAACTTGTCAGTTCCATAAAGAAACCTTCAGCCGAGTACAGATAACTTGTCAGTTCCATAAAGGAACCTCCGAACTAAGAACGGATAACTTGTCAGTTCTATAAAGGAACATCTAGCCAGGTACAGATAACTTGTCAGTTCCATAAAGGAACCTCCGGACTGGGAACGGATAACTTGTTAATTCCAGAAAGGAATCTCCAGCCAGGTACAGATAACTTGTCAGTTCCATAAATGAACCTCCGGACTGGGAATAGATAACATACTTGTACCACATAATTGTTGCCACGAATACTTGTCAAAATTGGACAATCATTCATAGTACAAACATAACATTTTATAGAACAGATCTTATTCCATATACAGAAAATAAATAAAGTTGAACATACTTTTGCTAAGTTATTACTCATAGATAGCTGTAGAAGCAAATCAGACAGATTGGACAGATCAGATAAATCAGGCAGACAATAGCGCGTAACCTACATAAACACAACACATAACATATACACATTGAAATACAATATCAATTCCTTAATCAAACTTGACTTTTCTTGTCTTTTTCTGTCTAAGTAATCCCAACTGGGTTCTTATTTTACATATTCTTCTATTACTAAGTCATTTTTTAATAGACCAATTTCTTACTTGGCTTCTTAAACAATTACAACTACTAGATCAATGATTCATTCTTTAATTAACTAATTTATATTGATTGTTAGCTTATTAATCTTTAATGAGCCATAAATCATGTCTAGAATGCTTGGAAGTAAAGGAGAATGAAAATCGATATATGAAATAGCTTTTCAAATTTTTTTGAAACAAGACTCTTCGGTCGAGCGCAACGTTGGTCGCTCGAGCAGACCCATTAGTTTGCAAAAATACTAATTGCTTACATTCTACGCTCAAGCGACAACTTCTTCGCTCGAGCAATGATGGCGAATTCTGAGTTTTCCAAAATGTTGTTTAAACTTCAAAACACATTACCAAGTCTCCCAATTCATACATGACTCGAATATGCAAAAACATTCCTAATTACATATATTTAAAGTTAATTCCATGATTTTAATTCAAATTTAAACCTTAGATTTCATGTTTACAAATCATCTTTCAATTCTTTCTTTATTTAATGAAACACAAAATTGAATCTATAAAGTCTTTTTACAAATATTTGCATATATGAAATTTAAATCAAAATCAAACTTAAACTAATTTTTGATTCTCAAATATAAATTATAATTTATTTCCATATTTGTCCAAATTTAAATTTCATTCATTTTCTTCATATCAAGCCCAATCAAACCCACAAATTCAAAAACATAAATTAAGCTTTTAAAACCCAATTTCATGCTCAACACTCATGCAAAATTTCATCAAATAATTGTAAGCCATGATCAATCTTCAATAAATCTTTGTTAAATGTAATTTATGGAGCTTAATCAAAGCCAAAATAATTAATTTCTAAATTAACTTCCATAGACTTAAGCTTAGCTCAAATTCTTCATTTTCATGTCAATTTTCTAGCAAATATTGCATGTGTGTAATTCAAATAAAACTAACTAATTTAATATGTATTCTAAAATTTGTTTAAATTAAATAAAACTCTTAAATTACATTGCATGCATGGGTTAATAATCAAAATCAAAACCCATATTTTCATGACCTCATAATTTCCAAACTTTTCTTCAAAGTCAAATGTATAATAAACTTGCATGACTCTAATCCTTCCAAAACTCATAGTGCATGCAAATATACATCTCATATATATCAAGGTTTCCAAACCCAAGCTCAATTTGAAGAATTCTTACAATTTCCATATTTATTAACCTTAATCGTGCTCATGAATTAATTCTTTAATTTCTCCAAATTACGTGCATATAAAAATAAGACTCAATTTCATACAAGATATTCAAAACAAACCCTAAATAATTAATTTCTAATTTTATCTTCATAACCATGAATCTAGCTTAATTTTCTTATTCAAATCCATATCCTTACAAATTCCATAAAATTGATTCCATAACTTCCTTAATTTCAACTAGTATATGAAGTTTTTGTACATGAATCAAGCATAATCTCTTACCTTAATATAATGTGCTGATTTTCTCTAATTCCCTTTGTTATTCCTTCAATTTCCATCACAAAATGGGTTTCTCTCTCTACTCCCCTGATCTCTCAAACTCACTCTTAAAGTTGAGTTCTTTTTCTAAATTTGCTCCAGCAAAAAGTTGAGCCTACATCTCTCTCTCTCTCTCTCTCTCTCTCTCTCTCTCTCTCTCTCTCTTTCGGTACTCTCTCTTTTCCTTCTGTCTCTCTCTCCCTTTCGGTGCTCTCTCTCTCTCTCTCTCTTTACAAAATGTTTTGGGCCAAATATGAATATTCATAAGCTCACCACCAGCACACATACAAAAACATATCCTACACCTCCTAACACTACACAAGCACACGTGCATACTTCTTTGAAGTCCACCTCAACACTTACATGCACACACATACACAGATTTGCTTAATATACCCACATCCATTTACATCCTCAATTTTAGATTATTTCATAATTCAGTTTATGATTAAGATTAACTTAATTCAGTAACACTTAATCTTCATAAATTTTGGTTAGCACATAATTAAATTGATCATAACTAATCACAAATCTCACATAATTTAATTAGTTTTATTTGACTTCCATTATACCCTAATTAATTATATTTAAATTTGTCATTCTAAATCAGATATTTAATCAAACTCCCAAATGGCTCCTAATATTAAATTAAACTTATTTACATCCTCAATTTTGCTTTCTTAAATCATTAAGGCCTTCAATTTCATATTAGATTTCAAAATTTTCGTCAATAAATTACCTATTCAATTGAACACCTCATAAATTAATTTAATTTATAATAATATTAATTCTCAATCCTCATAACTTAATTAACTCCAATTCGAACTCAATTAATCAAATCTTAATTTTATAAATCTGAATCGAATATTTAATTAAACTCCCATATGATCCGATACTCGAAATTAAAATAATCCAATTCACCATTTGTACTCTCTTGAGCCATTTAGGCTTTCAATTTCTAATTACAAAATAGATCCTCAATAGAATCATATACGAATCAGTCTCTATAATTTTCATGAATCTCAAATTAAATTAGAATAATTGACAATTAAAATTCAAATCTCCTTAATTAATTAAGCGCTAATCATTATACGTGGTGGGATCGTCACATACTCTCTACCGAAGTAGAAGACTTTTCAACAACGTCAACCCATTCCACTACTCCTTTTGACACAAGAGAGATTAGTGAACTTGATCCATGGAATACTAGCACCGTCTTATTTTTTTCAAAAGGAACTCCTAAATCTACGACAATGGATTTAGGCCTCCAAAATAATGAATGAATACGACCATATTTTTATTGTGGCCAATCACACTCCTTAATTTAAGAGATTTCATATATGTTATATACATATATACTCAAACAAAGTGAAATCTTTTTACAAGAGTATCGCAAAAGCCATTAAAAAATTAAAGTTAAAATTCCAATTACGTAAGAAAATTTCACAACATAGTCCACAAGATAGGAGAAATTAAATAGTAGATTTGATTTATAAAGCAAGTAATGTGTCTTTTTAATTATAAGGAGAGACTTGACTACTTTATTTGTTTATGTTTAGAGGTCATGTTCACTATTGTTGGGTACGCGGGCGTACGAACAGGACGGATCTAAGATTCGATTATCGGAAGGACCAAAAAAAATATAAAGATAGATTTTAATAGGAAAATAAATGAGGTTAAATTTGAAAGTGATGGATGTTCATGTAATTAACCATTGTTATTTTTCATGCTATTAATTGGAAGTAGATAAACTCTTATTTTTGTTAAAAAATTTATATGACGGTAATAATATGTGGTAGTATCATTTATCCTTGAGAATTTTTACATTGTTATAGCGAGAAATAACTGAATTAGTGTAAGACAATGATTCTTAATCTAATTTCATTTATAATTTTTTATTGGCTGAGACACCACATAAAAATTGTGTCACTATTACACTTATATATTCCATTCTTTATAAAATATTTTAGAACATAATATATTAGAGAGTTGTTATGGTGTACACCCTTATAAAGGTGCATACCATATACACGTTATCACAATATACATAATATAACCATAATTTTTTTTTTTACCAAAATAGTTCGTAACATTTTGCATCACAAATAATTTATAACATTTACACAATTCATAACATAATTACAATGACTCATTATTTTCATATTCACTTTAGACGTGTACACCATAAATTCACTATAAATAAATTTATCATAAAATAACACTATAACTATTTTTAACTTTCATCACAAAAATCCATACATCTTTTATGATATGGGTGGACATATAGCATTCTCCAATAGATTATACAGATATTGTTATTATTGTATAATAAACTATTAAAGAGAAAAGTAAAAAACTTGAGCATTAAATGGGAGGGGAGTCACATAAGAAAAGGTGCCAGTATGTTGAGCTAAATTTATACATAATATAGCAGAATATTTTGAGCAAAGCGGGGCCAGGGCCTCAATATGTCTACACACAGTTCCGTCTCTGTGTACACAGACACGAGGTAGATCATATCTAACCGATAACTCGTGAAAGCACTGCATTTATTTAGAAATGAATGAGGCCATCACATGTTCACAACATTCTAAATACAATTTTAACTAGATTTAAAATTATGTAACCAAATAAATGTTTCTTATAAATTGGATTAAAAATCTTACGCACTAACATAATTTAAAGTTATAACACATCACTAAAATTCGAAATTCAACAAATTGAGTAAAAATGCAAGAGTGAAGAAGAAAAGAAAAATAAACACCTGATGAGGGTGATCATCATCAAGCTCACGAACAACATCAACCAAGAAATCAAGAAGGCTGCTGTTCCTAATGGCTCTGGCAATGTCACAGCCGTGTAGCGTGCGACGCCTATTTTCTTGAGTGTGCAACCATGCCCTAATAGTAAGCTCTACAATGAATAGCTCACAAGCTTTTGAGAACAATATTGGTGTATCTGCACTTATCTTCTGATTTTTCACATTTTTAAAATACAAAAGTAATTAAATTCTGATAAAAAAAAAGGAAGACACATTGGAAATCTAGTTTAATGGTATTTCTTAATTGTTCTATTAAATTATTGTTATTTTTTTTTATTGGCAAAAAAAGAGACTTTATTGATGTAAGGATCAAGTACAAGGTACAAAACAAATTACACCAATAAAAAAAAGAGAAATGCAAGAGTATCACAATGAGTTAAATCATCCCAACTAGGTTGCCACCAAAAAGCTCAACTTATCATTTGCTAGCACCCCTAGAGTTGGTGAAAAACCAAGGAAAGAAACAGACCAAAACATGTATATTGGACGAGTCATAATGAGGAACTATACATTTAAAACAAGCCAAGTCAAACTAGAGGTGGTGGTTGTGGTGCGGTGAAGAGTTAAAGAGTTTTGAGAGAGATCATCTTTTCATTCAATATCAATCAATCAATACAACTGTGCTTCTTTTATACAATTGTTGTAACTACCTAACTCATATAGTCAACTAACTAATCATGGTTATGTTTATATCTAACAGATTTAGCTAACCACCACAAGTGGATTGTAACTGCCTCAACTTCATACACTTGCTCATCCTCTGTACATCACCTGCAGCTGGCTTGACCAACTCCTTGAGCTGCTTGAACTGTAGTTGTATGGTCTGTAATTGCTGCTGTAGCTCTATAGGCTTAGACAGCTTGTCTTGTGACTTTGTGGCTTGTGACTCCTCTGGTTTGGGTTTGAGCCTGAGCTATGACTTAACTTGCCCCCTCAAGCTTAGGGGATACTACAGGACCATAAGCTTGGCCTGTAAGTATTGAAACCTTTGAGTGGAAAGAGGTTTGGTGAAAATATCTGCTAATTGATCCAAAGTAGAAATATGACAAATATGGAGTTGTTTAGCTGCCACTCGCTCGCGAACAAAATGATAATCCACCTCTACGTGTTTGGTCCTAGCATGGAAGACAAGATTAGATGAAAGAGAGATAGCAGAGATATTACCACACCATAGAGTAGGGGAAGGAACTATAATATGAAGATCAGATAAAAGCATAGTAAGCCAACTGAGCTCTGCTGCGGTTTGAGCTAAGGCACAATATTCGGCATCAGTAGAAGAGCGAGCCACTGTAGGTTGCTTTTTAGCAGACCAAAAAATCAAATTGTGGCCAAGGAAAACACAAAAACCAATAATAGATCGTCGATCATAGGAACTGCCAACCCAATCAGAGTCGGAGTAAGCTTGAAGAAGAAGAGGACCAGGACTAAAATGAAGCCCAAGATGTAGAGTACCTTTGACATATCTCAGCAAACGTTTAACATGAGCAAAATGACTATCCATAGGGAGATGCATAAATTGGCAAGCATAATTCATGGCAAAGGAAAGATCAGGATGAGTGATAGTTAAGTATTGAAGAACACCAACAACGCTTCGATAAAGAGAAGGGTTAGAAAATGAGATATCAGTAGAGGAATCACTATGTTTAAGAGCCATAGGAGAGGAATAGGATTTACAGTCAGACATGCCAGCGTTGGCAAGAAGTTCAGTGGCATATTTATGCTGAGAGAGAAAATATCCTTCAGAGGAAGAAACAACTGAGATACCAAGAAAATAGTTGATAAAGCCAAGCTCTTTCATGGCAAAAGTGGAGTGCATGTGCTCAACAAGCTGAGTATTAGAGGAAGAGTCACAGCCAGTTAAAAGTACATCATCCACATAGATGAGCAAAATGAGAATTGAAGAGGCAGTTTTCTTAACAAAGAGAGAGGAATCACAGTGACTGGAAAGAAAGCCCTAAGATTGAAGAAATGTGGAGAAGGTTGAATACCAAGCTGTGGACTCGCCTTTTTTGTGCCCCATTTCGGAAGGTTTGAAAGAAAGGCCTCATAGTTCGGACTCCCGTGTTTCTGAATCTAATCTTACAAGTGCAATGTAAAATTGATAAACACCAAAGAGTCCAAATCCAAGAAATCTTTTGAAAAATTGATTTTAGCATAAAAAATGCCAAAATTGGACTGCTTTTCCAAATACAGAGTCACCACCTATTTTATTTTTGAGGAAATTGAGGAAACCCTAACTCATGCTAAAGGCCACATGTCCGTCATCACCAAAGTTGCCTCAGTTCGGGAACTTGGGTATGAAAGGGGAAGGTCATGAATTGAAAACCCTTTCTCGCCCGATCAAAAGATCGACCTCTACTAATCATGATATGATTTTTATGTACATTATGTTCTCTTGTTCCGGTTATTAGACTAGCTTTACTATGTGACGCGCGCAAGCAAGTATAGACTAGTTTGCTCAATTTGGAACAATTCAACTTATGTTTGTTTGCAAAAATGATTTGAATTTGCCACTTCAAGTGGGCTTAAAAGTTGCAGATTTGCTACCAAACATAGTGGGTTTAAAACATAATTTTCCACTCAACAAAGTGGGCTTAAAACGCACATTTGTTGAATCGTTCCAATTCAAACAACAAGCCTTCATCCATAGGCATTCAAGCAGTTTAGCATTTAAGCACATGGCCTCATGGAAAGAATGCTAAATATGGCAACATTCGCACTTATGTAAGTATGCTAAAGCAGAAAAACTCACCTAGTACTCCGAGCTAGGAAAACATGAGTTAGAAAAATATGCATAATTCCTAACTATACAAGATGCATAATGCAACACATGCAATATGCAATTAATAGGCTTGGCTACTATTATGACATATGAATTGATTTGATAACATGCGATTAAACACGTGTTCAAAGAATTATTGAAATGACAATGCAGTTTGAATGATGCGCCGAGCCTCGGCGCATGCAAGACAAGATGAATGTATGCAAGCATAAGGTATGCTAATTGAAACATGTCCCTAATCTAACCATCGGAAGCGTTTAAATAAAAAGGAGAAAGACATGGGATTGAAAAACATACACACACACGCACACGCAAGCACACTTATTACAACATTACGCCCTCGTAAAGGATAATTCAAATGAATAAAAGTTAAGCTAATCTAAGCTAAGCTAATCTAATTAAGCTAATTAGACAAATTAGATTAATTATTACAAATCAAATGAATAACTAGTTAAGCTAATTACTAATTATTACAACACTTTAACTAACTAGCAAACTAATTAATTAATTTACAACACAAATGCGCACGAACTAAGCATTTAAGACATTAAACTATGCTGCCATTGCTTCGCCTTGGGAAGTGGAAGATGCATATGCTCGGTTTTGACTCGAAAAGACCTCCGTTTTGCTCTTGAAAGCCTCTTTTTGCAGGGTTAAGCATTTCTAAAACCTTTCTACTTCACCTTACCAAATCTTTGCTGATATTTACATCAGTGGCCTACCAGCCATGGAGGGAAACTACCGGCCATCTGTTGGCTAGTGAGGTGTCCTGCCGACCAGAAATGATGCACTGCCGGCCATTGATGCATTGTATCACTATGCTGCAACAGAGCACAAACAGAGCAAAAAGGGGATTTTTCCAAGGGTTGTTTGCATAATTCACCTCTCCTTTTTATGGACAAATCAAAGGAGGGACAAAATTTGGTTCATAAACCATCAATCAAGTAATTTCATTGCATGATGACTTGTGAAACCAATTGTGCAAGTTTAATAAATGCAAAATTAGACCAAAATGATCATCACCCTATCATGCATAATTAAGGGCAATGGAGACCTAAGAAAATGACACATTTCATTACTTTTGAGCATGAAAAGTCTTATTTTCCTTGTGTTCAAATGAACGTTCGATTTGAACACATGCAATGCAATAAAAAGAGATGCTTATCTTGCCTCTTTTACTTGTCAACTTTGTTTACACGTTTTAATTACCAAATCATTCTTTAATCAATTTGTCCATTGGCGAGTATCCTCCAAGGTGAAGGACGTATCAACCAAGGGATAGTGTAAGGCAAGAGAGAGATCATGCCTTTGATAATGAACCCTCAAAGTGGATTAAACCATTGAGCATGACCTTAATCTCAAGCTTAAAAGATCCCAAGTTTGAAACAACCCTCAAAAGCAAATGAAAGAGTGAAGCAAAAAAGGAGGTTGCAAAGATTTAGGTGCTGAAATTGAGTGATAAAAGCACTAAAAATATGTAGCCAAGTCACACCAATGATATTTAAAGCCTTAAAACAACAAGCTAGTGCAAGGATTTACATTACAATTACACAAAACAAAGTTCAAATGAACCAAACAGCCCAAAACAGAGCTAAAGCAGGCTATTTCAGAGGCTAAAAACATGCTGGACTTAAGCTAAGTTAAGCTAGAAAAACATACTAACATGTAAGGTTAACTAAGCATGCAAACAAGACACAAAGAGGGGAGGCTAACCCCTCTAATTTTAGACTTCAAAATGAGATTTTTGCCACTGAAAAACCTCTGAAATTCAGCGGTTAAAAGGCCCAAAAAAGTTGGTTTTAAAGTGATGGATAAAGACACAAAAGCTTTATAAACTAAGAAATAAGAAGGGTGAATCACCCCTTAACTAAAAAAGGGTTCAAACCACCATTTTTAAACCACAAAAATAGAGCTTTTTACAGTTCAAAACCAGCCCCAAAAACAATTGAAAAAGATAGAAAAACTAGTATTGAAAACAAGATAACAAGACTAGTATTCTACCTCTTGAAGCAAAGAACACTTTAGGCACAAGTTCAAGCCAAAACCACCTTCAAGAGCTCCAAGAAGTCCCCAAGGAACCTTAGCTCAAAGGTGAGAGGATTTGGTTTAGGAGAAGTAGGCAAAAGTATAGAGAAACTAGGCAAACACACACAATTTTGCAAGAGAGAGAGAGAGAGAGAAATCTAGCGAGAGAAAATTTTTATGTCTCAAATTTTTCTAACCCCCACACATGAGAGAGAGGTGTCCTATATATAGAATACACAAATTTCCTTCACAAACAACTAGCCATACACGTGTAGGAAGACGCATGAATCTGTGCAAACAATTAGCATAAAATATCACAAAATATCTGCAGCATACAATGGTGGCTGGCTGGCCACCAGTGGTGGCTGGCAAGGCTTCATTGATGGAAGACAATGCACATCAAAAACTTCAGGCTGAAAAGACCTAGGCATGGTTCAAAGATGAGACAAAATGGATGCAGGGTTTGAAATGCTTAAAGCTAGGGCATTCTACTAGAGACTTTGAGCGTTCGGCAATCAAGCAGGCTCATCATTGGATGTACCTGCAAGAAAAGGGCCATAAAAAATGGGGTGTCTACACAAGCCCTTGGGGCTTGTTTAAGCCCATAAAGAAACTTGTGAAGCCTACAAACAAGATGAGGAGCAGAGGCATCAATGAAGCCTTAAGGCTAGTGCATATAGACTTCCTCTTCAAAGACACCATGAAGAAAGACATTAGAGATATCAAGTTGCTTGATAGGCCACTGAAAATAGAGAGTTGAGGTGAGAAGAACCCTGACAGTTGGTTGTTTGGCCACAAGGCTAAATGTCTCCTGAAAGTCAATGTCCTCTGTTTTGAGAAAACCCTTAGCAACCAAACGGGCCTTATATCTGGCAATAGTACCATCTGAATTCTTCTTAATTTTGTAAACCCATTTTGAACCAATAGCAAATTCATTCAGTATAGCAGCTTGCCATTGAGAAGAGAGAGCTGCCTTTTTGTAAGAAGATGGTTCAATGGAATCAATAGAAACTAAAAAGCAAGTGGACACACACTTGGTCTTAGATCTGGTAAGCATAGAATGATTATTACGGGAAGGCAGACTGAGAAGCAACTTTATAGGAATAGAGGAAATATGAATAGGAGGAACAGGTACTGTAGTTGGTACTGGAGTTGCAGCAGAGATAGAGGAAATAGAAAATAGGAAATAAGAATAGGAGGAACCGTATGAGGTGCTGGAGTTGTAGCAAATATAGAGGAAATAGGAATAGGAGGAACATGTGCTGCAGTAGGTGCTATAGTAGTAGTAGAAATAGGGATTGGAGAAACTGCAGATGTAGGTGCTACAGAAAGAGGAACTACAGACGGAGGTACTGTAAAGACTGTAGAAATAGAAGGAGCTAAGGACATAGAGTGTGAGGGAGGACTGGTTGGAGGCCAGAAGAAAGTGTGAAGTTAAAGTAAAGTAGGAGCTGGAATAGAAGCACAGAAAGAAGAGTCTTGAAATGGAAAAGTAGTTTCATAAAAAAGAACATGTCTTGAAACATAAATTTTACCATTGGACACATCAAGACACCTATAGCCCTTTGTGGAGAGCTGATAGCCAAGAAAAACACAAGGAATGGATCTTTGTTGAAGTTGGTATAGGGTTGAAGCCAAGGGTAGCCGCTATAGCCAAACACTTTCAAAAAATTATAATCAGGAGAATGTTTAAACAATACTTTAAAAGGAGTGAGATTGTCAAGCTTAGAAGTAGGATGCCTATTAATGAGAAACATAGAAGCAGCAAGAGCATCAACCCAAAATTTGAGGGGAAGAGAAGACTGATGCATGAAAGTGATAATGGTCGCAATTAAGTGTCTATGCTTTCTCTCAACCACTCCATTTTGAGCAGGAGTATGGGGACAAGTGAGCTGATAAGCAATACCCTTAGTTTTAAGAAAATTTTGAAATTGAGTAGCCAAATATTCTCCTCCATTATCACTTCTTAGAATTTTAAGTTTGGTGTAAAATTGTGTTTCCACAAAAGCCTTAAACTCAACAAACTCGGAGAAAACTTTCACTCTTGCAAGACAGAGAAAATAACAATGTGAATTTGCTATCACTGAAAAGCACATAGTATTTATAATTGGAAATGAAAGCAGCAAGTGGTCCCCGTACATCAGAATGGATTAGAGCTAATGTCACGCCCCAAAATTTAGACAATTAAATATTAAATTAGGACTGAACCCCAATCAATATTCCATTATTCAAATCCTATGGGTGAAACAAAAAAACTAAATGCCAACCAAACCATCCACCATAATCTCATAACTATTCAATACTTCTAACATTAAAGTAACAATAAATAGTCAAAATAACTTAAATAATGTACGGTTAAAAACCGTGCCAAATTATCCTAATACTAAAGTCATAAAAAAAATTAATAAATACATAAACTAATATCAACCCTAAGCTCAAGAAAACAAAAGAAGTCCAAGAGATATGCCCAAAAAACTATGGTTACTCCATGTCACCACCGTAGCCCCAACTAATCCTGCAAATGAAGTTCGGCTGTGCTCAAACAGAACGCACCCGAGTTGCCAAGAGACAAAACGGGTCAGTATACAGGTATACTGGTATGAGTACAAGATTTAACACCCGTGTGCCCACCAGACACAAACAAAAATACATTTAATTCCTGTTACGGGACAAGACAAGTAGTTCCAACTGTACCGAGATGAATGGGTAGTTTCTCGAAATACGGTGGCATTTAGTTTCTTGTCCGTACACAACGTAATATAAATTGATTATAAAATAAACAAAATAAAAATAAAAATATGGTGGGTTAGCCCTACATAAAAAGTTAGTAAGACCCACCATCCTGCAACAAAATAAAGTTAGTATAATTTAATCATAAGGAATTTGCTGAAGAAGTATAAAAATGCACCGTTTCATGCTTAAATAATTCGAATTGACTAAACTGAAAGAACGAAAGTTGTACAGAATCAAATTTCCTAAAAGACTACGTGAACGAATTTAGTAAAAACTGAACAGGTTAAGAGAAAAACTTAATAGAATATCCTAACCGAATTTTGATCGAAAAATCTAGACCTGAAAACGAAAATAAACTGCTGTAAGATGAATTTTTTTAGAAAAGTTCAAAACACGAAAAGTGTTCAGAATAATGTTTTACCTCAGTTTATGCAAAACCAATAAAAATGAGCTCGTTTCGTGGGTTAAAACATCTAAAATTTGCATTGCCAAGATGAATTTAAAACTACTATAATCAAGATCATTCGATTATAAGTTCTAATTGATCTTTTTAATAAAAAGTCAAAACACAAAAGTTGTCTAGAATCACGTATACATGCCTCTGCTCAAATTTCATAATTTATCGAGATCGTTTACTATTTTTCAACCTGTATAAATCAAAACAATATACACTATAATAATAAACTCATAATTAAATTCTTTGTACCTTAACTCCACCACTTCGGCCCTCCACTTCTGGCTTACACATATATCTCATATGCATCCTGTATACCTAACACCGCTCCGAAGCCAAACTTGCACGGGGATATCATCCCTAGATTGACTCACACTCTCCGGATGGTTAGCATATACGTATGCGCGTAAATCAAAACACTCGTCTACTCATGAGAACGAGGCAACAATATACATATACAAAATATCTCACTCATAATCCTCACTTTTTTTTATACTCTTTCTTACCATCACTCAAATAAAACAACAATCCTTGTAGTCATGGTGGAGTATAAGGAATTTATTTATGGGTTCCTAATTAATTTTAATTTCATATAACCATGAGTGTGATTACAACTATAAAATAAATCCATATAAAAATCCTAAATCTTGCATACACAACTAATCAAAATAATTAAAATCAATCAATTATCTAAAAACCCTAAACCTTACCTACATAACTAATCAAAATAATTAAAATCAATCTATCATCTTTATATAAATACAAAATCAAACTAATATTAAAAAAATAAAAATAAATAAATAAATAAAAACAACGAATTAAACATAAATCAAGGGAAGTGGATTTTGTACTCACAATTTTTTTTTGAAGATCAAAGAATCACTTGAACAATTAATGAAGCCACCAAAATAAAACCCTAATCTTTTTTATTCTTTTTCCCCACCTTCTTCCGCCGTCCCCCTTGAATCCTCAATTCCACTCTTTGATTTTGATCTCTCTCTCTCTCCCCCTTGGTTTCTCCTCTCCCGTGGCTGCTCTCTTGCAAATTCACTTTTCTTTTCTTTGATTCCCTAATCCATATTCTAACCTAATTTACTTTATATAATATTATATTAAAACCTAATCCTATTCTAACTTAATAAACTATTATAATATATTATATTATATAATACAACATAATTATAATATATATAAATATAAATATAAGATTAAATATATATATATCACCTCTTTTTTTTATATATAACAAATATAAATATTTAAATATTTAGATTAATTATAATTAATTAATTACCACATTAAATATCACATTAAATTTTCATGTGACCCACACAATTAATAAAGCCAAAAATAAAATAAGATAATAATAACCATAATAATAATAAATAATGACTAAAGAAAATTAGGTTCGCTACAACTAAAGGTTGATTTACAGAGGAATTAGATAGAGTAAATGGCAACCTATGACTCTTAGACACACAACAATGCGTGCACAATTTATTGGTAGCAACAATAGAAGCAATAGTAGGTAAATGATGCTGAGAAACAAGAGAGTGCAACTTCTTGAATGAAGAATGTCGTAATCTAAAATGCCAAAGAGAATCATGATGAGTAGAAGCAGTAGTGGAACAATGTAGACAGATGGCAGGTCTAGAAGCAAGTGAAAAAGTAGCTGAATTTGGTAGATGGTAAAGACCATTAGAATGACATCCTCTACAAAGAACCTTCTTGGTAACCTTGTCCTATATAACAAAGGAATCAAACATCAAAAGTAATGGTGCACTTATTCTCAGCAATGAATTGATGAACATAAAGAAGATTGGAAGCAATAGATGGAACATGCAGCAACTTGTTAAGTGTAAAAGGCATAGTTGGGGTAGAAAGTATGCCATTACTAGTATGCTGAATAGGCAAGGTAGAGCCATCTCCCACAGTAACTTGATCAGGACCATGATAAGGTTGATAAGTACTCAAATTATTGAGATCATTAGTAAAATGATTAGAAGTAGCAAAATCTAAGTACCGAGCAGAACCATCTGGAGAAGTAGTAGGAGAATGATGAACAGGATTTATGGATGATGATGATGCAACATAAGCCCTGGGATGAGATCTAGACATAGTAGGAGGAGAAAGTGAAGATGCTTGAAAAGATGAGTCCAATCTATGCCAACAGTCCAAGGCTGAATGATTAGGTTTTCTACAGATTTGACACAGTAGTGGTCCAATAGTAGAGGACTAATGATTTTGAGGCTGATGATTTTGATTTTGAGAAGATGTTCTGCTTCCACCTCCTCCACCTCTGTTGTTTTGATAAAATCTGCTGCCATTGCCGCTCTTTCGACCTCTAAAAGAGCCATGACCTCGATATCCACCTCTCTAAGATCCTCTAAAACCACCTCTATAATTGCCTCGTGTAGCAGCATAAGCAAAAAGCAGATCAGAGGCTTGTGTTTGCTTAAGAGAGTGTTCAACATGAATAGACTTGGAGCACAGTAAAGCAGATAAAGCAGCAATAGAGATAGGGTCAGATCTAGCTCGAATAGTAGTTTTGAAGACATTATATTCATTAGGCAAACCATTTAAGGTGAGCAATACTAAATCTTCATCTTCAATTAATGAATCAGCCAAACTCAACTAATCAGAAACAGTCTTAATTTGATTAAAATATTCTTCCATAGTAAGATTCTTCTTTACAATATAATTGAATTTGTTCTTTAGCTGATGTACATGAGATCGTGAAAGAGATGGAAAACGAGTGACTAGTGTAGTCCATACCTCTGAACTTGTACCACAATGCAGAACAAAAGTGAAAATAGATGATGACAATGTAGCAGTAATACGACTCAACAAATGTGCATAAATGGTGATCCAATGTGTATATGCAGGATTTGGAATAGGATTACCATTTGCATCACTGATTGTGGGAGGAGGACAAATTTCTGAACTATCAACATAGCTTGCAAGCTTTGTGGCTCTCAATATATTCTGAAATTGACTCTTCCAAATGATATAATTTGTTGAATCAAGCTTGGTTGGAACAAACGAGTTTAGATTTGAAATAAGAAGATTGAGATTGGAAGGTAATACAGAAATGGTTGAAGAAATTGTAAAAGAAGATGTAGCTGCCATTGTTACAGCAGCTTCTTACAGATCTGCTGCTATTACTATATCTTGTTGAAGATACAATGCTCAGAGGAGCTTTCTTGGCTCTGATACCATAAAAGAGTTTTGAGAGAGATAATCTTTTCATTCAATATCAATCAATCAATACAACTGTGCCTCTTTTATACAATTACTATAACTATACCTAACTCATATAGTCAACTAACTAATCATGGTTATGTTTATATCTAACAGATTCAGCTAACCACCACAAGTGGATTGTAACTGCCTCAACTTCATACACGTGCTCATTCTCTGTACATCAACTGTAGCTAGCTTGACCAACCCCTTGAGCTACTTGAACTGTAGTTGTTTGGTCTATAACTACTGTTGTAGCTCTGTAGGCTTAGACATCTTGTCTTATGACTCTGTGACTAGTGACTCCTCTAGTTTGGGTTTGAGCTTGAGCTTTGACTTAACAAAGAGGTGGTACCTATTTAAACTGGTTCAAATTGGTGTCTACCTCATTTAAATCTAACTTTAATTTGGTTTGTAAAATACAACTCATTTAAATTTACTTATGGATTTAGATAAATTTTAACAGGTTTTAAATGTGTAATTAAATGAGTTCACTGTTTCAGATTGACTTTGCTACCTCTAGGTAACCCATTTATAAGCATTAAATATGCCAACAAAAATTTAGTCCTGCTTATATATGATTCTTTATAAGTATGTGGAAAACAAAATGATATTTTTTTTACCTTCACTTGTTCATCAGATTTCATTTTCTTTTTGATCCTTGCAAGAGGTAGCTGCTGTTGGCTCTTGAAGTTTGTAAAGAAGCATGGTCAACAAAATTGATAACCTTCGACATAAACTAAAACTTAAAGTAATAACAATGAATACCTTCTCACTCCACTTATATCCTGATTGGTTAATTACACTTTTCACTAATATAATTTGACTTAAATTTTAAGTTAGTCCCTATTGAAAGATAGTAGTGAAGAAGAAGAATGGAACCTGTAGTATTATGAATGTCGATCATACATTGGGCCCAAAATAAATCAATATTGTGCTTCAACAATTGCATGAAACCATTATCCCTATCCTCTCTTCCATTCTTCAAAAGAAATTTAATATTTGATAATATACATTAACAAATAAATATAATATTTGTTATTGCTAAAGTTGGTAACTCATTTTTTTAATTGTATCAATTTGATCTCTTAACTTATTCAATTTTAGTGGGCATTATTTGTGGTGCCAACCTAGTTAGAATCATGTAGTTATGCTTTGATGCTTTGTACATTTTCTCATCATTTCTTTGATGTAATTCATATGTATGTATGGTACTTATCATTATAAAGGGCTGTTTTTTGCTGTTAAAAAAAAAAAAACTTATTCAATTTTGTGTTTAAATAGTCCCATCGCCAATTTGGATGGTAATATAACTGTTTAGTCATAAATTGGATAAGTTGTAGACCAATTTGAAACAACCGAAATATTAGGGACTACAAAGAAACAAAACTCATACTTTAAGAAAAGATGATGTATCTTTATTTTTATTTTTAAAAAAATAGAAGACAATTTATGATTATTTTCTGGATTATTAATTAGTAGTATCATACAACTAGAAATTGTAAAAAAATGTTATTTGTGATTCCTTCATTTAAATCGTAATGGTAATTATTTACAACTACATCATTACACGTATAACACACAAAGAAAAATCGCATATATATGACACATATATATCTGACATTTATTACATAATAAGAAAAAAAGCAACAAAATTTATCTAATGATATATAACGCACATGGTATAAACATGGAGAAGAAGAAGAATATGTAAACATAAAAAGTGCATATGAGATTAGAAGTTGACCTGAAGAAATACTTGATGGGGAGGAAGGTTGCGAGGTAAAGAGTAAGAAGGCATGGACATGAAGTTGTGCATTTGTCCTCCTTGTGGGGTTGAAGATGCTTCTTCTTCTCCTGAGAACTCATTTGAATTCTTCAAATCCATCACTCACTCACTAGGGTTTCTTTCTAGCTAACACTTGCTCACTTCATTAACAATGACCCTTTAAGTTGAGGGACAAATTTGAGAGAGAGAGAGAGAGAGAGAGAGAGACTAATCTTCATCTAATGGTAGATAGGATTGGGAAGATGAAAATATCTGAGATGGGTGAGACCATCTTTAATGATATAATGCCTTTCATTTATTTAGAGTTAGCATATGCTTGAGATATGTTTGGACTAATAAAAAAAGAAAAAAAAATAATATTCATAAGTAATTTTCATACAAAATTTAAAATTAATTTATGATGTGACAATAATGCTCTTACAATTACGAATCATAGTAATAGACATTTTAAATTCCAATGAATTAACACAAATGTGACATTGACTCATTATTATATATATATATATATAATTTTTGTTTATAACGATTAGTATAGTCTCAAAGTTATTAATTCTACCTAAAAATGGAAGCTCAAAAGTTATTAGAATTGGGGGAAAAAATATGATCCATGGAAGAGAAAGGCCATATAAATAGAATTTTTGTAAAAAAAATTAGTGTATATAGTGTTCAGCGATCATTTCATGTTAAATCAAATACAATTTATTAGTCACTATAACATATAAGAGTTTTAGAGACCACATTTTTTAGTCTCTAAAAGTCAAAATTTTATTGTAAAAGACATTTAGGGATCAATTTCTATCGTCGTGAGCCTAGTCCCTAAAAGGTCGTTCCAAAAAGTCAAAAACAAGGCTTTTAACGATAAAATTTTGAAAATGTCACTAATAAATAGACTTTTTAAGGACAAAATAATTTAGTCTCAAAATGGTTTATTTTTCGAGACAAAAAATTTGGTCCCAAAAGGATAATAATTAATCACTAATATTCAATTTTCGTTGCTAAAAATATAATAACAATCCTTTTCGCAACAAAAATATTTGGTACCTAAAAACTAATTTTGTCCCTAAATTTTAGTCTCTAAAACCTTAATTTTTTGTAGTGAGTGTCTCAAAAATTTAAAAAAAGATACTATCAAATTACTTGGTTTTTATAACAAATTTTTTTTTTTTTGATCAGCTAAAAAACCTTTATTGATAAACGAAGAAACTTACATCAAAAAGGAAAGATGGGTGCAAAAGCATTATAGCAACCATATCAATCCCAACTAGGTTGGCACCAATATGGCCGCCCAATCCCACACAAGCACACTATCAAGTTGGCGAGCAACCAACCATAAGCAAAACAACTCAAAAAATAACAAACAAACAGGAAAAGCCAGCACAGCATCAAACAACAAAAGCCATCACAACAGCTAAACACCAACAGCAACATCCAGCAATCCTCTATAAAGAAGTTTGTAATCAAATCTATTTCATTCTCAAAATGAATCTGTTTTGCATACATCACTCATACTTTTATACAATATAATGGATCTAACAAACTAACAAACACTACAACTAACTAATTCTACAAATATCTATTCAAAATATCTAAACTGATGACTCAGCAAAGCTGAGTTTGAAGCTGTGGTTAGAGCTATAGCTTGGAGCTGCTTCTGCAACCTGAGCTAGCTGGTGTATCCTCAACATTCCCCTGCAAGCTAATGGATTGAGAAACTGACATGAGCTTGTCTTTAAGAAAGGAAAATCTAGAGACGGATAAAGGTTTAGTGAAGATGTCTGTCATTTGATCAATGGTAGGAATATAGTGCAATACAAGCTATTTAGCAAGAACTCGATCTCTAACAAAATGGCAGTCGACTTTGATATGTTTAGGTTTGGAATGGAATACAGGATTAGAAGCCAGAGCAATGGCAGAAACATTGTCACACCAGAGAAGAGGAACTGTAGGAGGGACAATGTAAAAATCCTAAAGCAACATACCAAGCCAAGCAAGCTCTGCAATTGTATGAGCTAAAGATCTGTACTTTGTTTCAGTAGAGGATCGAGAAACAGTAGCTTGCTTTTTAGCTGACCAAGAAATGAGGTTAGAACCTAAAAATACACAATAGTGTGAGGTAGATTTTCTGTCAACAGAATCTCCAGCCCAATTGGAATCTGAGTAAGCATGAAGATCAAATGAGCTGGGGGTATAGGTAAGACCATAAGAAATGGTGCCCTTAATGAACTTGAGTAATCTTTTGACACCAACATAGTGACCAATAGTAGGATTATGCATATGTTGACACAATTGATTCATTGCAAATGAGATATCAGGTCTGGTAATGGTCAAATATTGTAAGGCTCCAACTATGCTTCTATAGATAGATGGATTGGCAAAGGGCTCATCTGAATTTGGAGGGAGACCAGGCTTGACAAAGATAGGAGATGAGTAAGCTTTGCAATCCAACATACCAGCTTTAAGAAGAATGTCCTGAGCATACTTCTTTTGAGATAGGACAATGATGGAACCAGAGGTGTCAACTGAGATGCCAAGAAAATAGAAAATAAAACCAAGCTTTTTCATAGAAAAAACTTGATGTGTTTGAGTAACAAGAGCTTGAATATGTGTATCAGCATTACTAGTGATCAATATATGATCAACATAAACAAGTAAAGCAAGAAAGACAGAACTAGTTTTTTTAATAAAAAGAGAAGAGTCACATTTATTGTTCTTGAACCCTTGAGACACCAAAAAAGAGGAGAATGTGGAGTATTAAGCTCTTGGGGCTCGTTTAAAACCATACAAGGCCTTATGGAGCTTGCAAACAAACTGAGAATTAGGAGGCTGATTAGGAGATTAAGGTTCAAACCCTGGTGGTTGCAACATGTAGACCTCATCTTCTAAGATTCCATGAAGAAAAGCATTAAAGACATCTAATTGCTTAATAGGCCAATTGTGATCAAGAGTAAGACAAAACAGAACTCGAATTGTTGGTAATTTAGCAACTGGGCTAAAGGTTTCCTAAAAATCAATCCACTCCTATTGGAGATAACCTTTAGCGACCAATCTGGCTTTATGCCTAGCCACTGTCTCATCTGAATTACGTTTGATCTTGAACACCCACTTGTAACCTATGGCAGTCTTGCCTTGAGGAAAAGAAACCAGAGACCAGGTGTGTTAGTTTTGCAAAGCTTGAAACTCCTCAAGCATAGCTTGTTTCCAAATAGGGGTAAGTAAGGCTTATTTATGAGTATAAGGCTCAATATCAATATATGAAGAAGATGCAGGAGTCTTAACAGTGGACAAGGCAGCTTGCAGCTTTGGATCTAGTAACCATAGGATGGCAGTTAAAAATAGAAGGAACAGAAGGAATGGAAGAAGAGGGAGCAGGGATAGGTAATTGAATAGAAATAGAGTTAATAGGAATAGAAGGTTGAAGAGGAGAAGTAAGAAAAGGTAGAGAAAACTGAGACTGCGATGAAGAAGGACTAAGAGAAGCAACAGAAGGATTAGGATTGCTGAGAGAAGAAGAATGAGGTTGAGCTGGAGAAGAAGATGGAGAAAGAGAAGCCTAGAAAAAGGACTGAAGAAAAGGTAACTGAGATGATGAAGAAGAAAAAGAAGGCAAGTGAGCAAAAAGAAAAACTTGTTCATTGAACAACACATGTCTGGAAAGATAAATGGTACCAGATTTGGGATCAAGACACTTGTAAACCTTAGCAAAATAATGATAGCCTAAGAGCATCTCCAATAGAGCTCTCAAAATACTTGTCAAAGCTATAATTTAGCAATAGTGATACAAAGTGGGTCTCCAATGGCATGCTATTTTACTTGCTAAAGATGGCATATGCCATTTTTGTTCTCAAATTTGGCAAGTAAAATAACAACTGCCAAACATGCCACATCAACAAATATAAACAGATTTTTTTCTAATTTTTGTAATTTATTTCATTTTTTATATTTGCCTAATCGGGAATACTATAAATATATAATTTTTTTTACAAATAGTTAAAAAAATGTCATAAAAGACAAAAAATAAACAAAAATAAAATCACAAAAAAACTTATATCCAAACAACACCTACAAATTTGAAGGAAAAGTTGGTTGAGAATTGCCAAAATAACAAGTGACCATTGGAGAACCATTACTATAATTTGGCAAAATAGCACTATTCATTGCCAAATTATAACAATAGCAAACAATAACCATTGGAGATTCTCTAAGAAAACACGCTCAATAGATTTAGGTTGCAATTTGGTAGAAATGTAAGGTTTAAGCCAAGGGAAACACTGACAACCAAACACCTTAAGAATAGAAAAATCTGGGATGCTTTGAAAGAGAGTTTCAAAAGGAGTTTTGTATGCCAATTTGGAAGAGGGCAGTCTATTTACAAGATCAATGGCACAAACAATGACATCAAACCAGTAATGGAGGGGAACAAATGAGTGATGAATTAAAGCAATTGCAACTTCAGTGAGGTGTTTGTACTTCCTTTCAGCCACACCAATCTGAGATGGTGTATAGGGACATGAGTGTTGATGAACAATACCTTGAGACACAGTGAACTGCTTCATTTTATTATTAAAAAACTCTGTGCCACCATCAGTTCTAAGGCTCTGAAGAGATGTAGAAAATTGTTTTTCTGCATAAGCTTTGGATTCAAGAAACTTATCATACACTTCACTCTTGTAAGCTAATGGATACAACCATGTGAATCTACTAAAATCATCCACAAAGAGAACATAGTATTTGTAGCCAGAAATGGAAGAAAAGGGGCCCCAAACATCACTGTGTATTAAAGCAAGAGGTTATTGATAGTGGAATTAGACAATGAAAAAGGTAATCTATGACTCTTGGCAACACAACAATCAACACATTCGTAAACCTGAACAGAAGCAGAATTTTTAAGATGCAAATGAGGCCTAAGATGCTTGAATTTCAAACTACTAGGATGGCCTAACCTATTATGCCATATAATACTAATAGCAGAAGAAGAACTATGAAAATCCTATGTGATTCGTGATTAGATTAAGATTTAATTCCACAAATTCCCAAATATTCAAAACACACAATCTAAATTAACAAGCACTTACGAAAGTGGTTCAGATTGTTGTTTTCAAAAAACAATAAATCGACATAAACGATTTTTACGTGGAAAAACCACAATTGAAGCACCTCCAATTGTGATAAAAAAATCACGGACGAAACGCCACTAACCAATCCACTATTGAAGAAAGAAAGATTACAAAGTTAACCAACAAATTACTAAACGTATCAAAT